TAAATCAAATGGGGTAGTTATGTTTTTTCCAACACCTCTCCAACCTATCAAGTTTCAGCTATTGGAGATAAACGGTACCAATAAGATATTTTTAGACTCGTCTAGATTTCAGTGGTAACCACATTTTTTCTTGTTTTTCTAAAATTGGGCGAAGTTTTAACAAAAAGCTTGATGTTTTTTCCGTCTTTCTTTCCCACTTCCTTTTGTCTTTTTAATTTTACTATCTTCCTTTCATCTCTCGAATAACGCGATATAGCGTTCCTCCAATTTGCAACTTTTGCGAGGTTGAAAACCCCCTAAATTGTAAAAGTTAAATATCAGTATCTTCAGTACCCCAAGTTCCATCATTTTTCAGTTTTTTTAATCACTTGCTATAAACTTGCCCAGAAACGGCCGCCGCATTTTGAGAGTGTGTCTAAATTACTGCTTTTTCACCATAAAATATAACACATGATGAAGAAATGCCAACAGTTAAACTTAGCTGCCAAAATGGCCGGCGAGTATTTGTAAAATACCATAATACCAAGTCAATTCACCAAGAAATTCCAATTAGCCCGAAAAAAATTTAACAATTAAAATGATTCATTCAAATAACCACAACAATAAATAGGACCCCAAAAATTGGATGGGGGAGAATTATGTATCGTGTCCATTGTTATTAAGCTAAGTTTAGCAAGATCCAAATTAGCGGGTCTTCTGCTAGTTGTGAGGAACATTTCTTTCGTTACAAAATTTTAGAGTGAGGTTACTCCAAAAAATCAAAGATCTTTTTCCTAGGATTTTGGTTTACATGAGGACCCTTCCCCTTAGGAAGGACCCCCTCCCTTAGGATCTGGGACACGATACAATACTACTAATACTGCATATTTTGCTGTTTCACAATTCGATAGTTCCGCACTAAGGAGAAAAAACCACCAAAACGTTTGCTGAGAAGCTCAAGTTAGGCTTGTTTCCTAATTTGATCTCTCAATTTGTTGCTCCTGTACCAAAACCATATTTTATGTTTATGTCACAACCCTTCATATCAAATCTAGAATGCAAGCAATAATTAAATTTGAGATTTTTGAGAGTCGAAGAGGATCTACGAAAATCAATGCAGCCTGTCTAATTGTACTGCGTTTTTTTATTTGCCCACATTCTAGATTGAGTAAATTTATTGAGCAAATTTCTCTTGTCGCGACTCGAGGAAGTTTTCTAAATAATTTTTCGCGTGATACCTGAATCGCAGCCAAATAGGTCAGGTTGTGGTGAATTATCAAGCTAGAGGTCAAGTGAGAGCTCGTCCTCACGCGCTATCATTCCCATGGTAGGGGATCGATTACTCGATCTGACGATCTCAAAGTTCCTTTATGCTTAAATGACTTAGATAACAGAAAAATGCTCAACTTGTATAATTATATTACAGGTTTTAATTGAAAATCTTGAGCGAATTTTCACTTGCGTTCAGCCTAATTTTTCGCAATTTTGTCAATCGTGAGTTTCATAGTGATCAGTTATCCAGTACTGCAAATAATAATTACTGGTAGATTGATGGGTTTTTTTACAGTCCCCACTACCCTTTTTTCAGAAATTCAATCAATAAAATCAAAATTAGATTGTTTTTGATGTTCTAAACTGCAATAGACCGTGTCAGCGTGAACAAATGAACCCATGGCCTATGAAAGATTTTTTAAGCAAAAGTTAACGTTGTAGTTTTACGAGGGGGTTGAGAAACTGGAAAAGAGCTGATTGATGGATTTGAGATATCTACGTCTGATCTATGTAACAAATTTGTGCGTTTAAAACTGCCGCTAAAAAGCTGGCGATGTTTTCATTTACCAAGATTGGAGGCATCAGTCAACAAAGACATTAGAGGCGAGCGACATAAAATTTTTTATCATTTTTCGAACTGTCATGTCTAATCGGAACGAGAACCTGCTTGTCTTACAACTGCAATTTAAAAAAAAACACAAATTGTGGTGTGGTGATTAATCTGCATGAAACAAAAAGCGCCGAAACCTAATTTGGATTTTCCTATGTAAATATGGGCTGTCAATAAATTGTTTACGTGCGTTGAATATAGTTTTACAGAGTAAAAAGCTCATAATTAATATTTGCCCAGTTCTGACAACAGAAGAATCAATCAAGGGGTCAAATTGAAATATATTTTTTGATAAGTATATTGAATGACTTGTTGATAACCCAAACTTACAACTCTGCTGCTGAAAAACTTATATGAAAAGTGGACGGAGTGAAAGCGATTTATGAGATATAACAAATATGCAGTTTTAGGCGATAAACTCGCCTGGTCTTCATCGACTTGTCTTGTCTTAAGCAGCTCAAGATTTTCTGATTGACAAATCAGCAGTATAAAGGAACCAGTTATATATTTTGGCAGAAAACTCGAGTAAGCAGCTTTTTAATGCGGAATTTTAAGCGAACTCAATATTCGTGGATGAGTAGAAATGTTTAGGGTTTTTAAAAAATTTCAGTTTTCCTTAATACTAGTTGTAAACAAATATGTTAACGATTGCCACCTATTGCATAAAAAAGGCAAAAAAATGCACTAGAAAATATTTAAAGTCTTGTAGGTAAAGTGAAAATTATATTGAAAGTGAAAAAACATTTTTGAGATTTTTTGAAAATCATTCCCCACACGCTATGAAAGTATAAAGTGATAATTTTTCAAATAGCAAAGTACAAAATAGACACAAAGGTTGCCTTATTTCATTTTGGAACATTTTGTAAGACGGATATAATCTTCGTCATAGCACGAAATATAAAGGGCCTTAATCATCCTAAACTTTGACCAAACTGGCAATCTTTAACACTCCATAAATTTACAAACAGATAAAGATAACATTATCTTTCGAACAAAAAAAATGGCTAGTGAAAAAATCGAGGCTTGTCTGGAGAAAAAACTACCCTAATCACAAATATTCCGAAACTTTCTTCAAAAGTCGGTTAATGTTCAACGACGGATTCTAGTCCGATTTTCGAAGAAAATGGTGGAGTATGTTTGCTCGTCTTTTTTTTCTCCAGAAGACTTTTGACAGTACTTTTGACAGTATTTCTATACCATTCAAACTGTTTTGTTGTCTTAAGCTCAAATTTAAAAAATATTATAAATGTGACCTTGTTTCAATAATTTAGGGGTTTAAAAATTGCCAATTAAGTAACGCACGATACATTTCGCGTAGAGAAAGTAATTTTTTTTAAAGTATATCAAATAGTTTTCAAAATTTCAGTTATTTGTGTTTCATTTGGTTTTATAAAATAATGAATTTTTTAAAGCAAAAACTGCTCCAAATACCTTTAAAGGCTGACAGAACATTCAGTGCTTTGACCTGATACGAGCAGTTTTTATGCCATTACTGCCGAGATTTATTGCTTTTACCCACAGAAGTGCATTTCCGGATAGCAAAAAACTTAAACACTATTTCTTGATGTAAGTAGTAAAAAAACAAAAAAAACAGGGAGGGCAAATTCGTTACAAAATGTGGTCTATTTTTTTAACAATGAAAATATCTTTCGTTTTTCAAAATTGAGGTAACAAACATTCCACTTTACAATAAACTGAAAAATTTTCTTTTGCTTTCATAGAGTTCGGTAGCAATAAAAGTGCGACTACTTTGATATACAAAAGTTTTTGGGCTATGCGGAACAACAAATTGTCGTCAGCTATTTGGAATTTTTTGGTTATCCGGGAAATCTGAGAAATTTTTGTCAAAAATAAGATCTTTATAGCATTTCGAGATAGTACAAATCTGTTCAATCCCATAAAAAAGGTCAATCGAGTTTTCGATACTTCAAAGCAATCCCATCACCCCGCTTATTATAGATTTGACTGTGAGAATGGAAACCGGTCGTTATTGTATGATACGACAAATTAATTTTATCAACGAACGATTGGTTTTTGGTTTTGAGAAAATTGAATTTTTTTGCTATCAGGCGACAAAAAAATAGGCTATCTGGGGCAAAAATGTTTCTTGGCTCTTAGGGAACATAATTGTTGTTCAATATCTTGGTACGAATTTATTTTTGGCTGTCCTGGTGATCGACTCCGTGACACGTCACCCTTAATTTTATTATCTGTGACTTAGTTAATACCCTGGGTCTAGATTTTCTTGTTGAAACTGTAAAAACGAAAGTATTTTGAAGAAAAAGAAAAAAAAACAAATCCTAGATAAAAGTTCAATTGCAATTTATAAAAAGCTATACAAAACAAAAAGCAGTGTCGCCTTCCCCATCTCCAGTATACACAAATGATACATTGAAAATCTAACCAGCGACTCAAAAAAAATATATCTTTTCGCATCTTTATAAATATTTTTGTCTTGCTCTGATTATCACTATCCTCGCCAAACAGGCCGCACTAATACAAGTTAGGTATTTCTGAATAGAGTTTGAATGAAAAGAGGAACCTTGGCTACATATAACATGGAGGAGAAAAGACGATTCTACAAAAAGCTATCATCGACATCGTTAGTGTTTGGGAAACTGAATTAGAAAAAATTTCAAGTTCTTATTAATCATTTTTGGCTAAAATGCTTTACCGAAAAAATAACGACTTCTAGTTTTCATTTAGCCCCAAGGTTAAAACTTATTTACGTTCATTCAGTTTTCCATGCAAATACCAACCAACTTAGTTTTACCAACCAGAAGCGCTCCCGCACTCGAATTCCATGGATAAAATTGACTCAATTTAGTTTTATTGTCAGTGTCTATAAAAGTGAAAAAAAAATAATGTGATCTTCTACTTATTAATTAACCCATTATATTGGGTTTCAAATGAATTATAAGGCATTGTGTTTTTTGAGAGGATGAATCAATTTTTGTCAAATTTTGTTGTCTGAGCGTAACATGGGAATCGATTATATGGACAATATTTAAGACCCCGAAAATACATTATAATAGATTTTTTTTCACTTCTCTTAAATGCGGGAGGTCTCAATAGCAAAAAAGAACGGCAATTCTATAAATAATGATATTTTATAATAGCCAGAGAAAGCCATGACAAAAGGAAATTTAAATTATTCTTTGTGACATTTTGATCAGAAACTAATAATTCAAATTTAAATAACTTTTTCCGGCAGTCATCAATTGCTAAATCAATTTAATTTAAAAAAAAAGATAGTATGTGTTAACAAATAACAGAGCCGTTCTCGTGCAATCACGGCGTTATCAACTAAAAATGCATTGTGAGTTTGTTACCAGAAGATTCACCATACTGCAGTTGTGTGTTTTTATTATGGGGACTTTAATCATGACAATAGTGACAAGTTCAAGTACCCCCTTGGTTATTTTCAAGAGATCACTTTTTGTCCCACCGTCCCTAATTTTTAAAAGAAGTTTTTTAGTGGTCTGGTCTGGAAGAGGAGTTCGGAGCCCTCTCCTCCATAACGAGAGCATCCTAGATCCACTGCTGTCTGAAAATGACTAATTTATTGACAAATATTCCTCTGATTTTTTAATAATCTTTTTGAATGATGGTTCCAAACTCTGCATTTTCTGTTATTTCTACTACTCGGTCTTTTTGCCATGGGGGTTACCGTATACTTATGAAGGGTTCAACCAATACAAAATCAAGAAGAAAGTCCGTCTTGTTTATGTTTGGAACATCCAAGAAAGATAATGCACCAGAAAAGCTCTGAACGGCGCGTAAAATCCGTCGTAGAAAGCCGAGAACAAATACGTTTGCCGAACGTACGACGCGAAACTGTTCGTCGCCACTATTGCTTGCTCTGCCTCGGTAGTTGGTTCTCGGTTTTCCGAAAGCACTTTCGGCTCATCCGTTTCCGCAATTAAGACAGTTAGAAACAGAATTCCACAAACAACACCGAGTATAAAATAAGCCTCGTAAAACAACGATTTGAATGACCATTCGTTGACTTCGTTTTTTGGGCTACCCTCGTCAAAAGCTTCGAAATTCTTCCCAATAATTTCGTCATCTAATGGAAAAATGTCGTCGATTTTTGCTTCGACTTTCCCGACACTTGTAGCAGTGATGGAACTTTCCACCACGTGTCGGCGTTTTTTTACGTCATCAGATTTTACCGAAACTCTATACGACGTTTTCGGGGAACTCGCTTCTGTCGATTCCTGCTTAGATTGCGTAATAAGCGTGTCGTATACAGTGTTACCGGATGAGTTTTTAAGTCGTCCTGAGGAGCTTTTCAGAAGTTTCGGACTCTTTCGTGAGTCTTCGGCTTCAAGTAGCTTCGCCCTCGGAGCCTGCATCAACTCCGAAGCAGATCGCCGGGTTGAGACGACCACTTCGGGTTCTGACAACTGATCTCCAGTGAATTTTTGAATTGATCGGCGCAATTCGCCGACTGAGGGTAACTCGTCCTCGCTACTAGCCGTGCTAGTTCGCGTGCTGCTTCGGTTGCTGCTCCGGGTTTGTAGTGTGTCTCGGCTGATCGTTCGGCCGAACTTCTCTGGACTGTGGGATAAGTTCTGCTGGAAAGACTGTGTGATGTCGAGGGTGCTGTCGCGAGTGTTGAACATGGGCTGGTCTGTGATGGAGTCTGGTCTGGAGGGCGCTGCCAGGTTGCTTCTCAGCTGGTTCGTAAGCAGTTGCGCTCTCGTCCACTCATCTTTGCTTCTATTTGAACCATTGAGTGTCGGCGTCTGAAACAAAGATGCTTTATAAGAAAAATTTACAAATTTACGATTTGTCTTATAACAGATTTTCGAAACTATTTTTGTATAGAAAAACTTACCATTCAAACTTGCTGCGAAACAAAATATCGTTTCAAAAACCGACCCTCTTAGGAAATAGACCCTCTCACCACACAAAGGCTCCTCACTTTGGCAATCTTTTTCTATATCAGTTTACAGTCAACTAGCCTAAAAAGTTTTACGAGCACCCTTGACGCCAGTAATTTGATTTTTTGGTCAAAATCATCCAAAAAAAAATCATTCTCGAAAAATTAGATATGGAGCAGAGAATTTTGGCAAAACATGTTATCGTGTTAATGTATATTACGTTGAGAGATCTGAGAAAGATAGTTTGACCGACCTAACAAGAAGTTAAAAAAAGAAAGTCGACGAATCCTGGATCCGCCGCTGTCCCCGACATAAACTTAGAGAACTATACTTTCAATCTCTTATTTTTATTCCAATCGAGCAAACTGTAAGATACGGAACTAATCGTGTTGTATGATTATGCTTAGCATCTGTCGTACCATCTGATCATCGGCCGATGGAGTCGCTTTTGAGGAGGAAGTGGAGTAGCCGCTATCCACAGATACTCCATGTCCATTCATATACATTGCACTGCTATGTCTCCTCCACTCCTCATCCCCCTCCCCCTTCCCCTCCTCCTTAGACTCAAAAGAATCCCCACTCGCGCCCACACTCCCCCCTACCCCACTCAGAGATCCATTCGGGTAGAGTTCGCCCCCTCTCCACTCTGATTGGTTCCTCGTACTCTGTCTCGGCAGTGTCGCCGATGACGTCATGTAGTCCAAGTGCACTCCTGTCCCATTCTGATTCACCACTCCTCCCCCTCCCCCTCCTCCCCCCATTCCTCGATCTCCTCCCACTGCCCCTCCCCCTCCCCCTCCTCCCCCCATTCCTCGTTCTCCTCCCACTGCCCCTCCTTCTCCCCCTCCTCCCCCTCTTCCTCGTTCTCCGCCTCCGCCTCGATCTTTTCCTCCAAGTATGACAGAAGAGTGTCGTGAAGTGGTGTCACTGTCGTAGTTTGACATGTCGTTTAGAGTCGTGATTGTGTTGAGGTGGTGATTGCCGTTGGACATGTCGACCGAGGGGTTCGGAGACAGCAGCAGGAAACTGCGTCTGGATGTGGCCGCTGATCTGTCCAGACTTCGCTCCACAACTCTGCTTCTCTCCCGCATCGAAGGTGTTCTTGAACATTTCAAAAACAATACTCAACATTTTGAGGGCATACAGGATCATCTGGGTCAAAAAGTCTGTGAGAGTGAAATATAAATGAAAAATAACATGGTTTTTAGCTTTTATGTAATTTCATTCCATATATCGTTGTTAACTGTTCGTCCAGTGCTTTCCCAATTGTCACCAAAAGAGAGCCCAGAATTACTCTTTAAAACTACAATTTACCAGACAAGGTGTAATATAAACTATTAAGTTCAATAAACAATAAACAATTAGTCTGCAGCCAAAATTGAACTGGACTTACCTCTCAAACTTCGGGGCGTTTCTGCCGAGGCTAGTGGATCTCAATTGATCAGCTGTGCGACCACTGAAAAACAACAATCATATACGAATTTATACAGCTTGAGGAATAATAAATGATAATAATATCAGAGTCGCACTGGAATTTCTGACCTAAATTTGAGAGAAGATCCTTTTTTGAACAGAGATCGACTGGACCTGATCTTCTTGGGAGTCTTGCCCGCTTCTTGGCTAAAAAAAACAATTTGGAAATGGGAGATTGAGCAAGGGCTGATTTAGATGGCATTATAGCATACCCTATGGGTTGACCATTATACAAAAAAGTAACTAATCACAATCTTTCGTGGCATATGGCTTTCATGGCCACTGCTAAATTAGACAAAAGCCATACAAGAACCAGACAGAAAGTGGAGCTTAAACTAACTGTATGCATTTAAATAAAAACGTTTACTATGTCTTGTCCATCTAATTCTACCCAAGTGTTGTTTCGACTGGGATGTGCTTGTGATCTTATTAGGAAGTGATAAGTAGAAATAGTGAGTGTGATTACGTGAAGAAGACCATGTGTTCCACTGCACTGCTCCACACGTGCTTCGCATTCGTCTCACTCCCGAAGTCGAACAGTGTCTTGTATGGCTTCACTGTGCCCCTCTCCTTCGCCACCACCTGATCATGTCCACATTCACACATGTCATCATGGCCATTACTACTCACTCAATGGCCAAATACTTTCATCATTTTCTACTTAACATATATTAAAAAAACTAGGATAGCCGGTTGCACCTAAGCAAGCAGCATAGAATTCTCCGACATATTCTTTAAAAAAATACATTAGAAGTTTTTTTTCCAAATTAGTGTAGTTTTTTGTTCTTGGCGAGATAAGTTGATCTGACGAAAGCTTAGAACTTAGGCGTATTCGATAGTTTTTTTCGGAAAATGATTTGAAAAAAAATATGAGAAGTTTTCATAATTTTTTTCAGAACTTGTTTTTGATTTTTCAAAATTCTTGTTTGAAGTTTTATTCCAAAATGGCGCCAAAAAACTTCGAAAAGTAAATTTACAAGAATTAAAATTAATGTTCAACTGCTTATTCTTCTATAATAAACACAGCCTGCTCGCGCTCACTTTATTCGCTCGAAATTAAACCAAAATTCAAAAACTTCAAACTTTTTTGACGACACTGAGAAATGTTTTTGGAAACTTGTAGCTTGTTTTCGAAGCGCGACTGAATAGTCTTTAATATCATATATCATTCGACCAATTCCGATGATTATCTATGGTGCCTGATTTTGCGTGAATAAAAAAAACGAAAATACACCCTCACACAAAGTTCCTCCCCGTTGTTAATGATCGAAACAAAAATTTAAAATAATAAAAACTTTAAAAAATGTAAGAAACGATCTTTTATACGACACCTGTTATTGTATGACAAGTGTAATACTTTGTAAGAACCAAAAATTGGTTAGCTCGAATAATGAAGTGGTATTAACAAGAGTGTTTAGCTAATTGGTTGCTGACCTTGAGAAACTTTCCATCTATGGTCATGCGTACTACATTGGACCAGGGGAACAGTCTGGCCAGTTTGTTGCTCTCGAACAGACAGAGGCCCTTCCAGGTGAAGCTGAAGTGCAGTGGGGTGCCCTGGTCACTCTGAAAAGAACAACTAAATAAAAGAAGGCGGAGAAAAAGCGCGTAGAAGTTTACTGTTTTATCTCTATAGCCTAAAAAATAGTAGATTATAATGTATTTTTAATGGATTAAATCGAATATATTGTAATTTTATAGATACTGGCCATATTTTTATCCATGGGCGCTCGTGGCGGCAAAGTATCACCATTTTTGAGAGGAGGGTGGACACCCCGTGACGTTGGCCTCTTGACCCCTAAAGGGTCCCATGATGCTCGGTTGTTACTATTTTAAGAGCTCCAATTTCAGTCTGCCAGTCGTAACTTTTTCTAAAGGTGCCGTTGGCATCCATTCTCACCAAGTTTGAAGAGCGCGAGTGCGCTTCGAAAAAACACAAAATCACGCGCCTAAAACGCCAATTTTGGCCTTTTATTAAAAACTCTCGTGCAGCCCAAAAAGTTTCTATTGTTGTGGGAGACCTCGGAAAATCAATTTGGTCGACTTAGAAAAAACCCAATCGGAAAATCAAAAGTCTCGACCAGGAGCGGATTTAGGGTCGAGACTTGTAATTGTTTTTTAGGTCGAGACTTGATTTTTCGATTTGGCTCTAAGGTTGAGACTCTCGACCTTAAAATCAAATCGGAAAATCAATAATGTCGACCTAAAAATTTTTTTTTTGAAGATTTCCAGGAACTTTTTTGCAAATGTGCCTCTTCTTCATGCTAAAATCCGTCCCTGAGCAATACTATCTTGGGGGAGTGGGAAGTAGTGAGTGAAGTGCATTGAAAGTAGGAATGGAAGAGAGGTCAACCTTGCAGGGGTATGGATCCACTCCGTATGTCTGCATGGTGGCTGTAAACAGCAGAAAGCTCCTCTCAGCGTCACTCGTGCTCACATCTCTAAACACACACCCACATCCGATTAGGACAACACAACAGTAGGCTTGTTGAGCCTCCACTCCAAGGGATCAGAGGAGACTTTTAGGCAAGTGTGCTACTAAAATATAGTGATATTGGAAAATATAATAAGTGGAAATATTGCAAAAAATCTTGAAGATGAATCAATTAACGATTTTATCTTTTACAGACTGAGGATTTATGAATTCTATTAAATTGGTATATGCTTTGAAAATGCTGATTATGTCGTATTATAGGAAGTGTTGCATAAGATAATTACGTCATTTTGTCCCGATGGTACTGTTCGACTGTGTCGTGGAACTCGTGGTCTTTGAAGGCGGCCGCCAACTTCATCTCTTTTGAATATCCCGGCAACAGGTCTTGCTCGTCGTACGGACCCAATGTCGCTGAAAAAGACTTTAGATTTTTTTCTTGTGAATCGAAACTTCAAATGGAATCGAGTGGGTCAATGCGCGTAATATAAATCTGAATATTTAATGTTGTCTAATTTCGAAGACCATAGTGACAATTTTCGAAGACCATAGCATAGTGACGGAATATATGTGTTCCGGGTGGTTTTTTCTCCAGACAAATTTTGACTAGCAATTTTTTTTATATCAGCTGAAAGGTATTGCTGTTTGAAATCAAAGTTTTTTAAAAACTCTGCACCAAAAAATAAGGTCAATTTAATGAAAGCGAGCACATCTCCAAAGAGCTTCGCCCTGATACGAACAGTCTGGTTGATGTTAGATTATGATTGAAGGGAGATGCTTAGAAGAATGAAGTCTTCGGCTGACCTTGCAACACATATGCACAGAGAAGGGCAGCCTCACTTCTGGTGCTCAACAGTCTGCCGTGTTCCAAGTCGCGTTTCACTTGCAGAAACAACTGGTATCTGAAACAACAGCCACTCAATTTTTTGATTTCCACGTAAAATCAGGTATCACAAATAATCATGGGATTTTGTTGATAGTCATATCGTATTTAAGCCTTTTTAGGCGTGGTTCGTACGACATTTGAAAATTTCCCAAAAAAGTTTCGAGTTGAAAAAACCGGGATTGAAATTTTTGATTTTTCGCATATTTTTGAGCGAGTAAAGCGATCGAGTAACGTTCGTTATATAAGAAAATTAGCAATTTCGGCTGAAAAAAAATGAGCTTCTCTGGCGAAAACTTTCAAAAAATTGCTTATGCCTAATTTTTGTTCCGACTTTCGATACGAAAGTAACGGAATATTTGTGCTCGGGGTGGGTTTTTTTTTTTCAGACAAATTTCGACTTTTTAACTATCCATTTTTGACGGAATTTTTTTATATCATTCAAAAGGTATTGTTGTCCTGAGCTTAAATTTGAAAAGATATTTCACCTGTGGTCATTTTTTGTTAAGTTATGAGGGTTCAAAGATTGCCATTTTGGCCATTTTGACCAATTTGGGTCAATTAACGCGCGATATAATTCGCGCTATTAACGCGTAAGCGGAGATTTAATCCTTAGAAATTGTTCCAAATTGGTTGAACGAAGCTTATTTGCCATAATTGATTTGTTACAAGGAACGAAATTTCTCTTTTTATACTTTATATGGCGTGTGGGGGGATGATTTTCATTAAAAATTTCAAATTTAAAAAAAAAATTTCATTTTGTTTTATTTCATTTGATTTTATTATGTTATTACTGCTGCTCCATAAACCCTAAAAGGCAGTCGGAACATTCAGGGCTTCGCCCTGATACGAGCAGTCTTGTCTATATTTCTACACGTTCGCTTAGTTCTATCATCACTCGACTACCCAAAAAAAAGACAGTAACTCGGCGGAATCTTTTTCTGAGAATGTGGTCGGGACTAGGCTTGTCTTGTTGCAGTTTAAATTGCGATGATTGTCTCAGTCTACATGCTCTGATTTCAATTTTTACTCATCTTAACTGGGAACACCTGCCAAGTTCTACGTTGTGTCCCACCTTCCCTGTTAGAAACATTAACTCAGGTAATAAGCAGTTTTGTGAAATCTTACGATCAATTATTCAGAGTGGAATAGAACTTTGACAGGCGTGGGTTTTTCTGCGCAAATTTAGGTTACGTATAAAAAGCATCGATTGTTGTGTCATGTCAAAGCAGTTTCAGTTCTGATTCCTATTCAGAACATTTATTCCGTACGAGGGAGGGGGGAGATTAAAATTGATGGAACATTTGCAGAATCAAGCTGAAGAAGGCCTCTCAATTACGTCATGTCGATATTTTCCTTATTGTTACCTACCCGCATCCAAGTTTAGGCGTAAATAATCGATTATAACGGATTATTATGATAATTTTTTGACAATTATAATCGATTATAATTACCAAAATTAGGTCCTTAAGGGATTTATAATTGATTATAATCGTGACATTTTCCAAGAGATTATAATCTCTTATAATCGATTATAATTGATTACAGTTCTTACTAAAAACCCTTAAAATCAATTATAATCGATTATAATCGATTATAATTTCTCATTTTGCCAAAATTTTGCGATATTCGAATTAAATTTTATGGGTTATTAATTTTGTGTCAGTTAGAAAATCTCTAAAAGAGAGATCTCTTGAACACTTTGGTTCATCTGAACACAAAGTTTTACCACGAAACAAAAGTTTCATAGAGATCCTTTCATATGAAGGGAAAGGTTCTCGCGGTATATGAAAAATAAATTTTCCGAATCAATCATGAGACTGAATCAATTTGCTGATGTTTTGGTGTTTAAAAACGCTTAAAATATGCATCACAAAACAACCCTAATGGGGAAGAAATGAAAAAAAAACTTATAATTTTGAATCAATTGGAAAACTTTTAAAATATTTTTCTCATTTTTTATAGAAACCAATGTCCACAAAAAGCATAAAATATAAGCAATTTAGATGCACTTCGAAGACAAAAATGGACAAACAAAAGGGATTATAATCAATTATAATCGATTATAATGGATTTTTGTGCAAAACTAATGAAATAGAAATTTGAATAAAAATAATGGATTATAATCAATTATAATCGATTATAATTTTATCGAAAAATAGACGAATAAAAAATTGATTATAATCGATTATAATTGATTATAATTGATTATAATTTGATTTTAAAAAGAGTGATTATAATCAATTATTAATTGAATAAAATCGATTGTTTCTCAATTTTAGTGAGACTGGTACTAAAATCGTAATATAATCGATTATTAACGCTTGAAACTGGATGCGGGTAGTACTGCGCGAAAACATTCGATTCTGATTGGCCCTAAGTTTTCAACTTAAGACTAAATTAACATCCTCTCCCCTCAAATGTTTATTCGTTTCGCAACCTTCGAAATAAGCAATTGAATTTTCTAAAAATGTGATTTTATGTTCAATTATTGTTTATCTTTTCTTCTATTTTCAAAATTAAAATTTCCCGGTTTGCTTGGAAAAAAATTTCATCATTTTTATTTTACATTTATTTTTTAAAAATTTTGAATTTATGATGTCCCAAAAAATTGAAATCGAAACGTATGACCTTAAAATATCGACTAAAAAGATACTTCACATCATGTATATTGCTTAATTTAAATTTTCAAGTGCTTTTCCCTTAGTAATAGTTATACTGGATTCTGGTCTGTTTGAATAGTGACTGTCTTCCTAATGTTTTGAATGTATCTCATTCTTTTTACTTTCTAGTAAACGCCTCGCTACAAAACAGCGCTACGGTACAACAGTGCTGAAAAAAAAATTATCCGCGCAGACCGCTCGTGAAAACTTGCCGCCATGATAGCAAACTGCAATAGCTTGAAACGAAAAAAAAATCAGCGTAATACCAAAAAATCAGAGCAATTGTTATCGAGTAAAAGACGCCATATTAACAAACAGTGGTAATATCTTGTGTTGACGTTCTGTAAATTGTATTTACTAAGTTGATATTTGTTTTAGGAAAACAATTCAGTATTTCGAACTTACAAACAAAAAATTATTGAATTTAATGACAATAACTTAGAAAAATTATCATGTTTTTGTTGTTGGGTTGGTTTTTTTCTTCAGAATATTTTCGATTAAATCAAGATTTGTGTTGAAATTTTGAATCATCATGACAGGTATTGGTTGTCCTCAGTTCAAATTAAAAAACAATATTTTAACTGCAACCTTTTTTGTAAATTTGAAGGGGCTTAAAGGTTTCAAATTGAGCCAATTGGGGCCAATTAACGCTCGATATATTTTGTGCTAATAACGCGAAACGGAAACTTAAGCCGTCCTACAAATCGCTTAATTTGAAATGAGCCATGCTGTTTAATCTATATAAAACTTTGTTTTATCATTTTTATGACTCTGTACTTTTTTAAGCATGTGAGGTTTGTTTTCACAAAATTTTTTGAAAAAAAATACTTGTTTTTAAAATTTTTCCTTATATTTTTTCTGAGGCTTCGCCCTGATACGAGCAGTCTTAATTCTGATTTTAGCATCAGGTTTCTGATATTTGTTCGAATAGTAAATCATACAATTTTAAAATAATTGAAATATTTTTCCTCGTCAATAAACGCTACTGATCTAAATTTCGGGTGGCGGCAATCAGGCCGACGGATTTTAAGCCGAATCGTATAAATCAGAATTCAAAACGAACCAAATATTTGAAATAATTAAACTACTGTTTTTTATTGAAATATGCATTTTATAGAGAATTACCGACATTCAAATATTTAGTAGCTTTTTACAATTGCTTAGCATTAAATTGAGGTTCAAGAATGTCAAAAAATTTAAATTTCGTAGATTGTGTTCATCCTGTGTATAACTTATGCAATGCAAAAAACCGGCTGAATTAACAAACAAAAGCCATCTGTAAATAGTGTATTGTTACAAACAACGACTAATTTGGGCGATATTTGTTTTTGTTTTGATTTTTTTATGGAAAATGACGGAAGGAATAATTGTGCTAGGAGTGTTTTTTTTCTCCAGACAAACTTGGACTTTTTAACTAGCAATTTGGCGCAAATATTTTATATCACTCGAAAAGTATTGCTGTCTTGAGCTCAAATTTAAAATGACATTTCACTTGTGATCATTTTTTGTAAATTTTTGTGGTTCGAAGATTTGGAGTACTGCAAATGATTTACAATGAACATTTTTGATTTGTTTGATCAAAAAATGTTAATGTAATTTGTCATCTTGATGCCAGTCTCTATGAGTAAATTGAAGATGCTTTAGTTGATTGATGTTTTAAGCGACAGAAAAAAATCAACTTCAAAAAAAGTTGCGACAACAATTACACTTAAAATTACTTTGAAAGCGTCTAAAAAGTGAGAATTTTCGAAGCATCAACAAATGCAAAAAACAAGGATAGCTGGTTGCTGTCCAACTAGCACAGAATAGTCCGAGCATATTCATCAGAAAAAAAAACAGAAAATTTTTTTATTCTTTTCTTAAACTAGCGTCGTTTTAGTGAGTAGAAAGATTCGAGAACTATACAAACGCATGCGTGATAGATTAAGGAATTAAATGAATAACAAATAAAAAATGAAAAATAGTGAAAACATTTTTATAATTTTTTCTTAAATTTTGTACAATAAATTTAATCGTTATTGCTAAATAATTGCTCAAAGAAACATCCAAAACTAGTTCTCATGATAGTAAAAACAATCAATTTTGTGAGCCGAGACTTAGAAAAAATAAAGCTGTTTTCAAATTTTTGTCGTTTGTTATCAGCATGGTTAATAAAAGGAGCAGAACAAAAAACTGGAGATTAGGTTTTATTCGTTAGTCATAGGAAACGATTTGCTCTAGAAAAATTTCTTGTTAAACAAAAAAATCAACAAAAAATTTTTAATGACATTTTTTCAAGTTTTGCGGTTTTTGACATACTTAACATTTTGATTCTAAAAAGGCGCTAAATGACCCAAAAAAACCAAAGTTACTCAAGTAAAACTAAGTTTTTACGTTTCAAATTAAGCTATTCTAAGCTTGTAAGCAATTAAAATAAAAATAGCCGGTTACTGAGCAAGCAGCACAGAATGTTCCCAAATTGATGTCGTTTTTTTCTGCATGTTGTAATAAAAAAAATCTGATTGAAATAATAAAAATTAGGCATATTTGAAAGTAATAGAAAAACGAGAAAAACGAAAAAAAATTGAAAAACATTTCAAATGTTTTTTCAAAATTTTTTGCGGAAATTTTTCAAGTTTTGATTCCCAAAGTTGCGCTAAAAAACTTAACAAACCGCCTTCATCTGGGAAAACTAAGTTTTCACAGCTTAAATCAAGCGTCAAAAAGCTATTTCAGTTACTAACTTCCTTACTAATGAGCTCGAAATTAGACCAAAAATCAAAAATTCAAAATCAGTTTTTCTCGACACTGTGAAATTTTTTTTGAAAATTTATTAAGATTGTTCGAATCACGGCTGAAAGGGCTTTGATATCATATATCACTCAACCCAGTCCGATGATTGTTTGTGGTACTTGGTTTTGCGTGGAGAACAAAAAAAAACTAAAACAGACGCGAATAGAAAGTTCCTCGCCATTTTCAATGGTCAGAACAAGCACACTCGATTGGTCGGAACAATGACTACAATACAGAATTGGCAAGTAGCGAACATATTGCTTCGTTGAGTATAAATTCGGCATGCGATAAAAATAGCGTGAGTGAATGGGTGCTTGTCGCTAATCTAGAAATTTGCAAAGAAGCCACACAATTAGTAGAAGAAGTAAATTTTAACCGAAGGTCATTTTCATCTACGTTTTGTAAAATTTTACCAAACAAATCATTGAGATTTTTTTTAAAAATCTATGTTTAAATCTATAGAAGTTTTCGCCAGGAGGATGGTGGTTATGGACATCTAGTGCTACCTGAAGATCAATCAGCAATGGCTTTAGTTAATATACCTGGTGATGTCTTCGTGTACGATTGACAAGTCGGAGGGGTAATACTTCACGCGGAAACACAAGAGGTAAGGAGCCACACCTAAACAACAAGCAACTAAGAAACACGGATAGAAACGGATATTATGGGCACTTTTACTAATTCGATAGTCTTCGGAAGAAGAACTAATAGAATGACAATAAACACACTCACATTGAGACAGTTGTTTCGTGATCTGTTTCACGGGGTTCAACCAGTGCTGAAAAATAAAAGCGTACATATAAAATATCGGTTAGAAGATCCTACAGAGCTATAGTTGATTCAGTGGTTTGCACAGGAATTTTTTGAGGCTGAGTTGGCGGTTCTTAGCAAAATTTTTGGATGTTTTGTCAACCTATTTTTAGGGCGACTAAGCTGGCTTTCCGACTGGGCACGCTACTGAGCTAGCTGATTAATTTAATTAGTTAATTACAATAGTATAAATCCTTTCAATCCTACCCACCCTCTGCCCGTTTCTGTCCACAAATCTCAGTCCGAAGTAATCCATTTCGATGATATTGAGTTTGTTGCACACATCCTGGAGCAGTTTCGACCCAGCTTCCTCCTTCTAAATTATTAGCCCAAATCAAGCGCATAGTCACTACACTTTAGTTTGAGGGGGCCTTTTAACATCGATAAACTGCCTTTTATGGTCGATAAAAAGGTCTTTATTTGAAAAATTGTTGGAAAATGAGTAAAAAACAAACAAAAAAGAACTCTTTTTTTTTCATTAAATAATTTGTAATACCTTACCATGCCAAGAAAAGTATAAAGTGAAATATGTTGCATCTGGTTGTATTATTCGAAGAAAACGGAATATTTATGCTCGGTGTGGTTTTTTTTATTCTGTCAATTTTCACAGATCGAAATAATAATTTTCAACAAAAGTTTTTATTCTCCATTGAAGATATGGACTTCTTGAGTTCTAATCTAAAAAGATATTTTACCTCCGATTATTTTTGGAAAGTTCTGGGGGTTTGAAATTTGTCAAATTGGCCATCATCTGGACTAAGTTATGCGCGCTTTGAAGAATTTCTTCATAATGCTGATAGCGTAAGGAGAATTATTTATATGTGGCGAATTATCCCGCACAACAAAATCGGTCCAAAATGAATTGAGGCTAGCTAATTGGATCGGTCGTATCAATTTCGACTCCAAATTTTACACTTTGATGCTGCCCAAAATGTATAGGTTTTCAACATTTTCTTTTCAACCAAAAACTATTTGATATGAGTTAAGGGACAGATGGATATACGAGCAGTCTTGTTTTTGTCTCAATGCATTTTGAAATTGTTCAATTTGCCGCTTACACTTTATTAGGACGACATATTTGAAGCGTACGTTATCCCTTATTGAAATATATTGGTCAAAGAAGTTTCAAATTCAATCCTCATATTTATCGAAAAAACTGTCACCAAATTTTTTTTTTTAATTTTGAGCTTTGCTCATCAATTTTTTTAGGATGATCTTGAAAAACTCTTCTTCGAGTGTTGAAAATTTACAGCCTCTTAAACTTTAGCGAAAAATTTTGATTAATTTGCCTAATGATCTTTAACGATTGATATGATTTCAAACAACAAAAAAACAACAATTTTTTAAACCTTTTTGAAAAACTGCTATTAAACGCTATGTAAGTACTAACTGGTTTATTTAGCGTCTAGTAACAAAACTTTAGGATCAATTAGCCAGCAGAAATTCTTTTTCAAGCCTTTTCAGACCGGGTTCAACTAAACGCTCACGCATTGAAAAATTGTTTACATTGCTCTTTAATTCTATCGAATTAGCCAAACTAGCAACTTTCAATCCCCTATATCGTTCAGAAAAAATTACCCATGAAAAATCTATCCAATTTTGATACCTCAATATGATAATTCAAGGCCCCATTGCTTTTCAGACTGTGGAAAATTATCTGTTAAAAACAGTTTGTTAAACTTTCGAAAAAATTTTCAATGAAGAAACGATACCGGGCACACACTTTCCGTCTACTTCATTACAGCAGCCAGTTAATATTCTCAGTATCAATTGTTTAAGTGCTGTTTCCTTTGCATTTTTCGCTAAACTGTAAGCGAAAACAACGCAAATTGTTCAATTGTGACTGAAAGAGCCCTCCAGTTCTAACACATATGTTTCTTGTGCGATGAAAAGATGTGATTAAATTTCAAGTGAGAGAAAACAACAAAAGGTATAATTAAAATGTTTCAAGAAAAAATTGTTATTCAGATTCATGGCTCTTATAAACAGAAATTTCTCAATTTTTCTGGAACGAATTTGAAAATGGACGGCAGCAATTATATACGCGTTGAAAATCCAAAAATAATGGCACGACCAGATGATAATCAACAAACATTGCTAAAAGACATAGGGTTAGAGAAAAATTTTAATTTCAGCAGCTTTACTTTAATGTACCAACAAGGCCAAAGTAACAATTTTACAACTTTGATCACTTAAGAATTTTGAGGTTTTTGCTTTTGTTTTTCCGAAATTGTCAAATAGTACCGGTAACTGTTATAATTTGAACTGTATATAGAGTTACCTTGACCAGTTAGTTGAATTGATTTATAGTGCATCATGAATAATTCGCAATTACGCTTTCACATCACAGGTAAACTCATAAAAGTGCGCATAAATTACATGTACTCCAAGATTAGGGCGAATGTGGCAGTTTGCAAAACCCATCTATGTAACCAAAAATGAAATCAGACTAAATATTTTTTTTGAATTTAAATCAAAAAGTCAGGGTTTAAGAGCAGAAATTTTTTTTATTGTTGAAAATTATTGTTTCGATCTCAAAATTTGACCTGAAAAAAGAATCACCCCAAAAGCACAATCTTTCCATTTATTTTTTTAAAAGTCTATGCCATGACTGCTCGTGTCATGTCGAAACTCTGAATGATCAAATTGTATTAAAGGTGTCTCAAGTATATTTGTTCTAAGAAGAGAATTTTATCTAATTAGTTATCTATTATTTTATAATTAGAAAAAATAAAAATGCCCGTTACCCATAGTTCGTTCGTGTACATCTTAGAGGCTTTTTTTCTGGCAAAAACTTGCCCTCAGAAAATAACAAGTATAAAAAAGTGCTGTTATTAACTGTTAGCATACCTCAAAAGTGAAGTCGGCATTGTCATTGTCGTCTATGAACTTGACTGCACATTTGTAGTAACTGTATTGCTGTTGCTGCTGCAGCTGCTGCTTTCCCTCCTGGGAGGACGAAGATCTTCTGGTCGGACTGATCTCGATAACTGGGTAACTACCTGCTGTCTCACTACTCATCACTAACTATTGCCACTAATTAGTATTAAAATTATAACTATAACCTGGTTATAATTAAAAAGTTATGACTTAAGAGATCACGGCTCAACAAATATCACTTAAGGATATCAATCGGGATGGGTCCATAGTTTATGAGCTAATACTCCACAGCATAAAACAAACTTACATTATAGTGGAAAATACAACCATTTGAAGATGTTTTAGTACAAATGAAAATTTTAAATTTAAATTGTTTGTTCAGAATCTATATATGTACTAGTTCTGACTTTGATGTCATACTAATAATTTTTTCGCCGGCTTTTTTTTGACACTGCACATTTTATGTTAACTTCATGCAGTTGGTGTCCATTTGGTGCTTTTTCCTGCAAAGATGGAAATTTTTAAGTTGTTGGACAGTAAATGAAAACTTGTTTGCATAAAGAAAAAATAATTATGACTTCAATGCGTGTTGGTGCTAGTATAAGAAGTTTTTTTCAATTACAACGATATATTATATTGGTTTAAGCAAACAGCGGCTTTTAAAACAAAATGTAAACTTTAAAAGTGGTATAACGCTTTTTGTGTAAAAAATAAACTAGTTCTTTCACGCTGAGATCTGCTTGGTAAGAAATACTCCAAAATCTGTTAGTTTTGCTAGATGTGCTTAACTGCCTTTACATTTTAAAATACAACACTGAAAATGTTTCCAGTCACTTTTTTCCAGTGGCTTTGCTGGCACCAGTTTTTGAAATGCTTCGATTGTGACTGTTGTTTGAGATAAGTAACATATTGCGATAATAATGAGCTGAGTTTGCCAAACATCATTCTGAATCATGTAGCTTGTTGCAAAAAAGCTTTATAAATTTTTGACATTTGATGCCATTATTCCATTAATTCAGACTCTTTAGGATTGATGGAGCCGAGCCCAACGTTCAAGCACCGCTAAATTCGCGTACATTTTTTGGAAAAATGCAATTAATTTATTGGAACTTATTGGTTAAAAATTTGGCCAACAAAGGCATTATTGGTACGTTTTCTCAAAAAATATACTTGTGGCTTTGAATAGTCGGGTCTCTTCAGAGTTTGAGGAGGGCGTGGAAATTCATTTTGGCTGCTTTTATAAGAAATCAGGCTTTGTGGATAATTAATCAATTTTTTTTTCCACTTTTTAACTCGAGGTTGCACAGTTTTTTTACTTGCAGACGAACAGTTTTTCAGTTGCATGCAAAATGGAGGCTTTGTTACCAAAACTTTGGGCCCCGAGCTGTAAATATTGTAGATTTGCACCTACGCGTATATTGCATAAACTAAAACATCAAATCTGAACAGATCTTGTGCGAAGATGATCCTTGTTTCATTTGCACATGGGCAACTCTGTCTCAGTTCTGAGATATAGATATGGAATTTTTCACAAATTCAGTCCTGATTTCACAAAGTCAGAACTGATTTCACAAAATCAGAACTGATTTCACAAAATCAGAACTGATTTCACAAAATCAGAACTGATTTCACAAAATCAGAACTGATTTCACAAAATCAGAACTGATTTCACAAAATAAGAACTGATTTCACAAAATCAGAACTGATTTCACAAAATCAGAACTGATTTCACAAAATCAGAACTGATTTCACAAAATCAGAACTTATTTCACAAAATCAGAACTGATTTCACAAAATCAGAACTGATTTCACAAAATAAGAACTGATTTCACAAAATCAGAACTGATTCAGGCCTTTACAGAATGGAGCAGGTCTGCTATGAAATATAGTCTGAGAGGCATAATTGATAAAGATCCTCCTTAAAATCTGAATTGCTTATTTTAATGCAGTAATTTGTCGTTTCACAAATCAAAAACCTCCTTTCTAACTTTAACTAATTTTAAACATTTTTAACACGAAAAAAATGTAATGCAACTAACTATTACTTCTGTATCAAAAACGGGTCGATGCTTGCTTGAAAGTACCTCATAAACAATTGTAATTGCTCTATTTTTATTAAATTTTAAAGTTAATAGGAGTTTCAATGAACTCGGGATGTGTAAATTGATCAAACAAAAGATGACAACCGAGATTGTATATTAAAGTTTTTCAAGACATGTCTTATCAGGTATTGAAGATGTCTGATCCAGTGCGACTATCTGATACAGCAAAGGAAAACCTCTGATCCAGCGCTTAAGAATCCAGTGCAACCATCTGATCCAGCGCTAACAGATGTCTGACCCAGGGCTGCCCACACTGAAGTTCCATGGATAATAATCAATTATATTGTCATTTTATACTCAATGTCTATAAAATCAGGGGCGGATTTAGGGGGGGGGGGCGGGGGCGGACGCCTCCCCTCTTCAGGGATTCGACCCCCTGCCGACCCAAAGGGTCCCCCCTTTGATACTTTTTCAGAAATCCATTTTTGGCCAACCGACCCTAAAATTTTTCTAAGGGCGCCTATGGCGCCAATATATATTAATTTTGAGGGGGAGCGCGCGCCAAAAAAACGCGATTTTTTTTTCAAAATTTTTCAAAAAGTGCCCAAAAACGGCTTTTTTGACTGTTTTTTCAAAAATTTGCCTGCGGCGTAGAAAATTTAGCCAAAATAGGGGCAAAACAGTGCTTAGGGAGAGCTCGAAAAATCTATTTGGTCGACCTAAAAAAAAAAAAAGTCGTCAAAATTTTCCAATTTTTTTTGAAAATCCGCCCCCCCCCCTCGAGAAAATCCTAGATCCGCCCCTGTATAAAATTACTAAAATAATCGATTATAATCCACAAAAAATGGATTATAATCCTAGTATTTTTTATACCAATAGAATCCATTATAATCGATTATAATCCAATAAAAATAGTAAATTTTTTTATATATTTATGCCAATATAATCCCTTATAATCGGTTATAATCAATTAAAATGGATTTTTTCGGGAGGTTTTCAAAGCTATCGCATTTTCTGTTTAGTCCAGTTGCTACGTATTAGATTTCATTAAAGGTTTTATTTCATTTTTCAATTTTTATATCTTTTGTCTTATATACCGCTTTTACCCCCCCCCCTTCCGTTTTCCTCCCTGTTTACATCTCCCTCAGCCTACTCCCCCTCCACCTCCCTGCCAGATTACCACAACCAGCATTCGCCCCCGGCCATTATTTTTGGTAGACTTTGGGGGAAGGAGGTTTATGATTTACACCCCCCCTCCCCCCTCCCCCCTCCCCCCCCACAGTTTACCCTCCTCATTTTACCCCCCCCCCATCTTAGTTCAAACTCACCCGTATACTGGATTATAATGACAACATTGTAGACAACTGTTTTCCATTATAATCGATTTTTATTCATGGAACTCTGGTGCGGGTGATGTTCTTTGATCCAGCTTTTTAGTGAAAATGAACACTGGTCACATTAAAAAACGTCTTTTGTCGAATTCGTTTTTTGCAAAATTTTCGTTGTATCTGTTGGCTTTGTTTCACCAGTACTCACTCTGATGAGTTGTTTTTAATTACAAAGCGTTCTTACATGTTTCCAAAAACAGCTTGGTCTTTCTATGTTGTCTGCAATAGTCAATCACAAGAACTTTTTGGATACTTTTTGGATGATTTTTCCGGTGTAATCTGACAAATTAAGTTTACTCAAGATTTGATTAGTCCCGTTGTGATCTATACGATATACTCACATGAAAATTTTTTACCAGTTTTAATTGGCTCGTTGTTGGATCGTTGTTGCAAAACTGATGAAAGAAGTTTGATGAGTATTATCACGACACTGGTTGCTAGTAGAAAAAAAGTGTCTCAAAACACGAGAAAAAGTTGTCGGAAATAAACGAATGACAAACAACCGTCTTAGGTAAATAAAAAACTTTTGACAGACAAAGTTGAACTTTAATTGTACAGTCACGAGACACAGAAGTTGAATCTTCTTGATTTAAACGAGAAAATGAACGAATTTGTTCTTCACGTTTTTGATATTTTTTCTGCAATTGTTTATGATATATGGTTTATGTCAAGAGCTAGATAAAACTGTTTGGAAAAGGTCAGCCGGGCCAAAATTTGAGAAATTTTGTTTAGAAAGCGTACATTAGCTCATTGCTTTAAGTTAGTCTGACTTTAGAAGTTCTAGCAATTTGACTTTGTATTGGTCTGGTATTTGTATTGGATTTTGTATTGGTCTGACTTTTAAATGATACAAAACTCAAGCTCCTTTGCGAATAGCACTACTAAAATATTGTTGCTTTTAGATATTTTCTAGTTTTTTTCACCCCTCTTTCAAATAGTTTCTGTTTCACTTGCTTTACATAGTCTTTAGCTGCCGCCGCTTCAATCTCACACATAGATTCCCCTGTTACCTTCTGATTTTTCAGTTGATAGAAAAAATTCCGCATCAGCCAAAAATGAATTTCTTGTAAGTCATCCTGAACCGGGTTTCTAGGTCCCAGAAATAGAGTTTCTTGCACCCACCTTGATAAATACATGCCCACTTGTTTTTTGTATCTTGTTTTACTGAGAATTTTTCGAAATTGATTTCGTGGGTTTCAATCACTGTGATTGAGTTCTTTCTATTCAGAGTTTTGAAGTGCAAAACTAACGGCGAAATTTTTTTATCAAACCCCCGCTGCACTGCCCTTCTTGCTTTTCCTAACTTGTCGCTGGTGATGTTTTTGTCACTTCTAGCCTTATTTGATTAGTTCTGAGTAGGTTTAGCTTGAAAGAATGAACCGTTTGATCCAAAAAAACCGTTATCCTGCACCAGGAATCGTAAAAATCCAGCATTATATCGTTTTCTAAGCCTTTTCTCAAAACTTAAGTATGTGAAAACAGTGATTTAGTTGAGGATATCTTTTAGGATAATCCAGCACTAGTTTCAACGAAAATTTATTCTCCAGTGTCCATCGTAAAACTGGTGGTGAGATTTGTTGAGCTCATTACCTCGCAGGCCACGAGGAACCAACCTCACGAGGCACAAAGCAAAAAACAAATAAAACATTAAAAACAAATTGATAAAGTACCATCCGCTTGATCCCTCTCCTTCCGTTTCGCTATTGAATTCCTCCTTGTCTGTGAGGGTCTGTTCTTGGCTGACTTTTTCTTTCCGATCAGTCCTGGTAGGTTTCCTTGGTAACCCACTATCACTCTGGGCGACTTCAACTCCAGGGCACTAACTGGGAGAAGCTCCAGTTACTCTCTCACCAACTCTGGCTCGTGTTATTGCTTACTCTTCGATATGAGGTATTTGGTCACGGGAATGATCAAAATGCCCGTCTGTCTCAGCGCTTATTCGGTTTCGAGCAGACCTTTTCGCCTACAATACACTACCTGGAGGTAGAGACCACTTTTAAAAAAATCGATCAAAAAAATATCATAAAAAGACAATGGCTCTGCAAAAGTATGAAATTTGAACCAATCAGAAGTTTGATAATTTGACATTTGGGCGAAAATTACATCATGATTTTATCATTAAAATTAAATTTCTGAGACATTGTGTTAACTTTATCTTTTAACTTAAAATTAGTTTTTCGATTTGTATCACTTTCCAATTTCTGAACATGCCAATTTTAATCCGTAGTTCATCGACTTTTGTATTGGCTGAAAAATTCGTTTTCGGAACTACAATTTAAGGGTCAGTTCCTGCTTCTGGACTCAACGCGCATGTTTTTTCTCTGACCCTTTTTTCAGATGGGAAGTGCTTAGAATATCAA